GAGTGAGAAAGATTTACCTCCCCTAATGTGGGCAGCTCCATTCGGTCTACTGAGGGTCCGGATAGAACACAAAGGCAGAAGACAGGCAAATTTGCTCACTCTCTCTCTTCTGGCGTTGGGACACCAATTTTATTTTGCAGTTAGATTTGAGAACTCCGGATTGTTCTGCCTTCCACTGTTGGGCTTGCATCAGCAACCTCCTGTTTCTCAGGCCTCTAGACTTGGACTGAGCTACTCTACCCACTTCCTGATTCTCCCACTTGCATATGGCATGTCAGGGGTTTTCTCAGCTTTCATAATCAAGAAAGCCAATTCCCACAGTAAATCCCCTCTCACGTATATTTAATAAATTGGTTCTGTTTCCCAGAAGCACCCTAACTAATACACTGTTGTTCAGTTATATTAAAATGAGACCCAGATGATTCAAAGTTGGCTTGGCTCAAACCAATTTAAATATTAAAAAAAAGTATGTTAACTTTAAAACCTTCTTTAAAAGCTCATCCCAGCTCAAGAAAACCCTGGTTAATATTTCTTCCTAACTGCACATTCAGTGACATCGCCTTGGTAACGTGAAATTGCATCATGCAAATTGGCATATTCCTTATATTAGGACTTTGGCTTTTCCTGGAGACATTTATTAAACCTTTATCATTCTCCACTGTTTAAAACCCAGATCGCATTTCAAACATTGCAACCTCATACTCCTCCAGTGCCCTTACCAGCTTCCTATATAAAATTAGTACTGCACTGTGACTGTACATTAGAATTGCTCAGGGTGCTTTTAAAAGTCCCACTGTAAAAACAAAATCCCAATGTTCTGGCCCCAACTCAGAACAGGATCTTGAGGGGGTGGCCAGGCATTCAGATTGATGAACTCCCCAGGTGATTCCAATGTGCAGCCAATATTGAGAGCTTTCCATCTGAACTTTCATGCCAACGTCTTAGATTTTCCTTAAAGACTTTGGGATATAAACAGAAAGGTGCAAGCACTGCAGTAAAGGAAATGAAATATCCCCTGCCTTGTACACCAGAGAAAAAACAGAGGGAAGTATTAGAAAATTAAGATACTTGCCTTAGAGAATTTGGAACCACTAAAGTCTAAGTAGAATAGCACAGCTAAGAGTTGAAATACATGTCATTATATAAGAAGTAGTAGCTTTTTCTTTCTCTCTCCATTATTACTGTTATTGTTATTTAGAGACAGTATCTCATTCTGTCACCGATACTAGAGTGCAGTGGTGTCATCATAGCTCACTAAAACCTTAAACTCATGGGCTCCAACAATCCTCCTGCCTCAACCTCCTGACTAGCTAAGACTATCGGTGTACACCATACCCAGCTAATTTTTTCTCTCTTTTTTTTATATGGATTTGGGGTGCCCAAATCTGGTTGTCCAGGCTGGTCTTGAACTCCTGGTCACAAACAATCCACCTGCTTTGGCCTCCAAAAGTGCTGGGATTATAGGCATGAGCCACCCCACTCAGCAATTGCCAATTTTCTGATACCTAGTGATTTCTGGATTATTTTAACCAGTTTTTATAGTAAATCAGTGGATTATAAGGCTTTGAAATACCTAATTTGAAATAATACTGTCCCAACTTTCCTGTTAGATGCAAACATTTTCAGGGATGATTCAAAGATCCCAAGGAGAAAATCATACATATTTTTCATATGTTATTTTTGATACATATATATTTAATAATATATTACTTAAAAGTATAATGCACAGATTTATGTAATTATTTTGTCTACTAATGCCTTAGTTTTATAACCTTTGCTAAATATCTATTTTCCTATTTTACACTGGATATGAATAAGCTAAATGTGCCTTGAAACTGAATTCACTGGTTGAACCCAAACAGAAAGGTAGGAACTACACAGAAAAAAAAGGTATCATATATGGGCAGCACCTGTGGCTCAAAGAGTAGGGTGCCAACCCCATGTGCTGGAGGTGGTAAGTTCAAATCCAGCCCTAGCCAAAAACTGCAAAAAAAAAAAAAAAAAAAAAAAAAGGAATCTCATATATATAATGTACACAATTTATTCACGAGGTGAATTTGACAGAATAGGTGTTACATGCTATGAACTTTTTCACTGCATATATTCCTTGTATGGGAAAGCACTGAATTATTTCCAAGAGCCTTCTCCAACCCTCTCCTCTGATGTCACAGAGCAGTAGTGGTGGGTGGAAGGCAAGACTTGCTGACAGCTGTATTTGGTTTTCTTCAACTTTAGGGGAAATGGGAAGTTTAAAAAGGGAGGAGTCAGCCTGGGTTTGGGTTGGCTCGAGTCCAGGGATCTCTTCCATATGCTTCAATTCTACACCTATAAGAGATTGTTATGACAGACACTCATTAGTGCGTCCCTCCTGAGGCCCTCCCCAGATATCCAATTTCAGGGTGCTCATCCCCCAGCTGCTGCAGCACATCCTCCTCTAGAGGATGATTCTAGGGCCACTGGAGGCTCATTTCCTAGAGTTTTCTGGAAAATGTCCTTTTCACCCCTGGAACAACTCACAGACACAGTCCCCTTTGGGATCAGACCAAGACTGATATTCTAGAGCCCCTGCGGGTCAAGCTGGGGGAGGCAGGTGTCTCAGAACTGTGGCATTGATTAGGCTGAAACTTCACTTGAAACTACACATATTCTTTTTTACATCTATCCTGCTGATAGGTTTCTCCTGAGAGTATTGCCTTTTAATAATCATTTATACACAGCTTCCTATACCAAGCTCTGCTTCTAGGGGGCCCAACTGAGACAACTAACTGTCCACACTTCTAGAGTCTCCCTGTCAAAACTGGCTCATCCCATTCCCTCTGGACACCCGGAAACAGACAGCGATTTGCTCTCCCTGTCCTCACCTATCTGCTCCAAGGCTGTTCATGGGAGAGATAAGGTTTCTTGGTCTTGTTTTACTGCTGAGTAAAGGACTATCCTAAAAGAATTTAGGACCAGGAGGTGGGGTGAAAACCTGTGGTATGAACACTTGCCTTTGTTAACTTTTATATCCCTTCATCCTGACTCCTCTGCCCCAGGCGTCCCTCATCCCTGTATTGTCCCTGACACCCACCACCCCCACAGACCCCTGACCCTGCACCTCTAAGTTCCCAAGGATACTGTATGTAGGAAAAACAAACTCAATACTGAATGTTCTTGGCCACCAAGTGTTTGAGTGTTCTCCTACTAACCAATTCTCCATTGCTAGCTGGGTGTCCCACAAAAGAGGGTGCCAAAAAAAAATTAGGCACATTTTTAGAAAGGAAAAACACTGCATTAAAATTATAATGCTCAAGTCATATTTGACTTCTCCAATCACAAGAGGTGCTCAAGCATGAGCTGTATTCATCTTTTATTATTGGTATATATTAACTATTACAATTTTAATGCAGTTTTTTTCCTTTTATAAAATGTGTATACACTTTTGGGGACACTTCGTGTTCAATTCATTTCTGATACCAACCTGACTTACATGCAGACTCCCAATTGATCCTACTGTGTTCTGAAAGTTTGTGTACCCCCTTCCAAATTCATATGTTGAAATCTTAACCCTCAAGGTGAAGACTAAAAGATGGGTTTTTTTATGTTTTGTTTTGTTGAGACAGAGTCTAACTGTCACCCAGCAGCGTGCTGTCCCATCAGCCTAGCTTACAGCAACTTCAAACTCCTGGGTTAAAATCATTCTCCTCCTTCAGACTCCTGAGTAGCTGAGACTATAGGCACCCACCACAATGCCCAGCTAATTTTTCTATTTTTAATATAAACAGGGTCTCCCTCTTACTCAGGTTGGTCTAGAACTCCTGAGCTCAAGGAATCCTCCTTCATTGGCTACCCAGAGTGCTAGGGTTATACTCATGATCCGCTGCACCTGCCAAGAGGTGGTGTTCTTTGAGAGGGAACTAGATCACAAGGGTGGAAATTGCAGGATGGGATTAGTGTATTATAAAATACGCTTGAGGGAGCTTTGCACTTTCTACAGAGTGAGAAGTCAGCAGCCTGCAACTTGAAAGATGACCTCTCACCAGAAGCTGAGCGTGCTTGCAATCTGATCTTGGCCTGCCCAACTTCCAGAACCATGAGAAATAAATTTCTACTATTTATAAGCCACCCAAACAATGATATTTTCTAGTGGTAGCCCAAGCAGACTAAGACATACCGAGAGTGAATAGGGCACCTAAGGCCCACAGTACTTGTAGGGGCCCACAAAAGTATTTTTCATTTCTTTTAAAATTAGAAGGAAATAAATAAGCTTCTAGCTTGAAGAAAGTATCTTAATATGTAATATTTATATACTCATTTTATATCAATGCATTCATAAACATGTATATTTGTGTATATATTTATTTATTTTTATTGCTATTTAGAATGTAAGAAATGGTCCACAGAGATAAAAGTGCCTCGGGCCTGCAAAAGACGTGGCCAGGCCTCCAGGAGCATATTTTCAAGTAAACACTGAAAACGTGTGAAGAACTGAATTTCAGGCATCATGTTCTTTCATTTTGAGAACTGACATCTTCAGATTCCAAGGGAATGAATTTCAAAGGGTAGAATTTCATATATCCTAAAAAGTCAGTAGGACAGATTTGCAGGACAAAGACTCCTACTGACTACACAGCACCTGCCACCAGGTAGGGCAACCAGTGGGAAGAGTAACTTGCTTACACACAAGCCACTGCTTCTCCCTCTAGCTTCTGTGACCGGTATTTACAGAGACCGGCAGACCTTTGTTCAGAAGTATCTCTGTTAATGATAAAATCTCAGAACATGGTGTAGTATTTGAGCCAAATGAGTCCACCTCTCCACCAGGCAGAGTCAATGCGAGCATGTCCTGGCACTGTCTGTCCTTGAGAGTTCCAAAGCAATTCCTTTTGTGTCACTGTCTTGTAAAAAAGAAAGAAAGAAAGAAATCTTAAATATGGAGATACACAGGTTGCTGCCCATACAGTAGGAGGATCTTGGAATGAATGTGCCCCTCGACACCGTGGTCAGTGACGGTGAACGAGTTACTTATTGTGGACAGAACCCACGAGGACCATGGTGGTCTCGTCCTCCTCAGGGCTGAGTTCCAGACCATCCTCCACCACCCTGTGCAGGGTGCTGTAGTACTGCTGGCTTTGGTTGAAAGAATGCAGCTCAGAAGCGGCCTCCCAGGCGGCAAAAGTGGGCATAGGAAAGGCATCAGGCCTCTTGTTTTCAAAAAAGCATTTCAGGTTCCTCTCACTCAGCTTGTTGGCGTAATCCAGAAATGTGTTTTCCAAATGCTCCTTCTCCCTCTGTGCGTAAGTCTTCCAAAACCTCCGCTGGAGATGGCTAACTTTAGACCGGCAGCGAGTACAGCAAGTGGTGAGCAGGGAGAAGAAAGATGCCGAACAAATCAGGCACCAGCCTAGAATCTTAGGAAGAAAGAAATATTGAGGGCATGGAAGAGCAAAGTCATTTCTCGGGGTGCTGGGGTGGCAGAATGGGAAATTCATACCATCATCATGGCCATACCTCATTTGAAATCATTCTTCTTAATTCTTAAGCACTATTTTTTAACAGTGAAAATGAAGTTCATGTTTACCTAATCTCTATTCTTTTGCCCAACACTGCTGGCATGCAAAGAAACAACCAGAAGCTGGGCTAGAGGTAAAGAGCAAAAGGTATGGATTATCCAAGAATTGGAAAACTCAATCCCTCAAATAGTATTCGCTATAAGAGGAAAGAACTCGGTGCATGAATGAATGTGGTCACTTTAGCAAACCACCAGTTCTTCAAGCAGGTGTTGTGAGGCATTGATAAATCCATACACATGGCTAGTGACCAGTTTTTCTCGTGTGACTTTGACATTGTTTTCAGAGAGCAGCAGACCCCCTCAGAGAGAAGTGTCACTCCTCACTATCCATGGTGAAGGGAGACAGCACATGACACAATCAGGAAGCTGAAACTAGAAGGATTTAAAGCCGGAGAGAAAATTCGCTCATACCTTAAGGGTTATTTGGTCTGAGTTTTAGTAATTAGAAAAAATAAACTCTTCTCTGAATATGAAGAGTTCAGGTATTTTTTTTTCCTGAATTTTAACAGCAAAAGTTTAACATTTCTATTTATGGTTTAAATTTTTTTTTTTTTTTTTTGCAGTTTTTAACCAGGCCAGGTTTGAACCCGCCATCTCTGGCATACGGGGCTGGCGCCCTACTCCTTTGAGCCAGGTACCACCCTATGGTCTAAAATGTTTTGTTGTCCTTTTTTCACAGTTGGAATTAATTTTATATTTGGACAAGTAACAGATCTCTTTTGAAGTGTCTCTTGACTTTTAGCTTAAATAACCCTTAGTATTCCTTAGCAGATAGGCCTATTTGGAAACAGAAACGATAGTCTCCAAATGAAACCATTCAGACCATTACAAAACTGCAAGTATCCAAGTACCTAAGCTTTAAGCTGGTGGTTCCCGACCTCTGGCTCAGACACAAAGTTATCATGAAGTTATCATGAAGGGTGGGAGCCTCTGCACGAACGCCAAGTCTGGATGGGCAGTGCTTGGTTTCAATTACACCTTTTTCTTTCCCTATTGTGCATATCACAAGGGTACAGGTCAAATCTATTAAGAGTAGAGTATAAGTGTCTTAACACAACAATTAAATAAGTGAGGTGAAGACTGTGTTAACCAGTTTGATGTAAGCATTCCAAATTGTATATAAAATCAGCACATTGTATATAAAATTAGCACATAAATGAATTCATGTACACAGTTTTGATTTAATAAAAAATAATTCAATTACACCTTTTCCTTTACTGTGGCTATTCTTCATGCCTCAATTTCTCCAGTTATAAAATGGGGGTTACCCACCTCAGAGGTAATTTTAGAGATCCAGTGAAACGATACTAGACACACAGGTGCCTTCAGTGAGTATTAATTATTAGGACATGCCGCTGTTTTTCCAGTGTATGGTCATTACTTTATGTAAAAGCTTTACTCAACTCATACCTTTCTGCACTTATGATGAATGTGTCAGGCCCACTACTATGCTGGGGAAGTCCTCATATTTCTCTGGAATCACTTGTGATTGGCTGCCCCAGATCCTTCCATTTACCTACCGCTGGGCCTCCTGGGGACCTTCTCCCCTCAGTATCTGAGCCAGTTCCTGCTGAGTTATAATATAAATTATTTGATCAGCTTCAGATCTTCTTTCTCTCTCATCATGACTTTAGAGTGGACCTCCCCTCACCTGAGTGCTGAGCAGTGAGTCCTCTGGTTTCCCCCCCTAATTCACTGCACACAGAGTTGCACTGGAGTGTGGTATATGTTCCCAAATCCAGCCCTCAATTAATTGTGTCCTGTTTTGCACGATTCTTCTCCCCCAAACCCTGCCGGTTTTCCTCACCAACTTGAAAAATCTACTATGTACCAGAAGTTTTATGCCCATTTATGTCTATTATCTCCAAACATTCCAACAACACCCCAGAAAGCTGGACTCAGAGAAGTCAGACCACTAACCTCAGTCTCATGGCTGATGAGTGATACCATCAGGATTCAACCCATGGCCAGCTGATTCTAAGGCTGAGCTCTTTCTACTGCTTCATTGACCTTCCTTAAGAATGGAGAGTCATCCAGCTGGATTTCTTGTTTCTCTGCCCCACCTGTGGATGAATGTACTTTTTCCACCCTCCCCCATGTGCCCAATTATTGGTCTGGACTACATGTTGTCTCCTGCCTGCCTGAACCTGTGTGGTCGGCACCTGCTGTTGATACAATGCCAGCTCCTCTTGTCCACAGCCCTCATGCCTCCTTCACTGGGAATCAGCCCAGGTTCTTCCCATTCTAATGAAACGTCAACAGGGCAGGGTGGCCATTCTAAACTGTAACAGGATATGTGTGATTTCCTTGTGCCTGTGTTTAGAGAAAAGAAGCTGGCACAGTGATTAAGTGTTTTGACCTGGCACTGTCTGAATGAGGCCTGGTGCATTAGGACATAAGCTGTAAGTCATTCATTCTGCCATAAAAAAATCTGTAATTTATATTGTCCTTTAAAAAGATGCAAGCCACTTGGGAGCCTGACATGTTTTATCTAAGATGTGTTTTACTCACTAAACAAACTCACCATGTTTTATCTAAGATGTGTTTTACCCCCTTGTTTGGGGGCATTTTTTTGCCTTATCAGTTAATGAAGAATATCTTTACTGCTAACTAGCTTTGCAATGTATGATTTTTTTTTTATTAAATGATAGCTGTATACATTAATGCAAACATGGGGTACAGTGTAGTGTTTTCATATACAATTTGAAATATTTTCATCACACTGGTTAACATAGACTTTGTGTCATTTACTTATGGTATTAAAACATTTATACTAGATTATAGTATAATCTATATTATAGATTATATAGATTATAGATTATCTATATTAGTTCTAGAAAAATTCACTTGTACCCTTGGAGGGGATAAGAGCAATGTATGATTTTAAAGACAGACTTTGCTTTGACGTGTTGTTACAAAGACAAAGGGCATTCGTTCTGAAACAATAGCATTCCTAACAAATTTGAGATCTGTTGACTTACTCTTACTGCTTGTTTTGATTTGGGGAATGCAATTCCTACTACTCACAAGCAGGAAGTCAGTCTTTCCCCAAGGCTGTACATCTGGATTTTGCTCATATACCTGGAAAGATGACTAGTTACTTCCTTGCATCAATTAGGTAAAGCTATGATTTCCTTCTGTTAAATTAAACAATGCCCCAAATCTTGAGCTTCTGAGGTAATGTAAGAACTTTTTTTTAGCTGCACAGCACCAAGAGTATATGACATAATCTCCCTAGAGGGTATGGTCACTCTCACAGAAGGCTATTTAAAGACTGCTGATCCCTACTTTATATGGGAAAATTCTTCTCCGTCTTGACAATAATGGTACACAGAGATAGCAGTTGCCAGAAATCATTCAAGGAAATCTCTACTAATTATACCACACATGCCTTTAAAAATGATTAACTCACTTGGCTCAGCTAGATTTTAACAGATTAACAATGTCTGTGTGTTGATCTGAGAAACCAGTTTGCAAATAAATGATTGATAGAAGGCAGTAATTTGTAATTACAGCTCTGCCATTAACACCCCATTTATGAATGAGTGTTATGCATTATTTATTTGCAAAGTCAAACCAAAGAGATTGTTTTAAAGTACTTAAATATTTACTTATGCAAAATCCAGAGGCTATTAGGTTTTGGGGAATGGAAAGGACATCTACACCAATCAGCAATTTTACTGAACCACCCAGCCTCTAAGAAGCCTTTCCTGAGACAGTCCTAATGCTGCATCTTGTTCCAATTTCCATTTAGTTTCAAAATATCCTGGCAGTACTCAGACTCAGCCCTGGCTGAAAGGAGAGGGCAGTGAGAATACTTTCAGCTCATACAGCAAGAAAAAAGTAAGTTTGTCCTTTCTTACCTGAGACTGGGCCTGAAGGGACAATTTCAGTTCTTCCTCGTTGGAGGATAACATCCTGGTTTTGCCACAGGATACTTTGTGAAGTTCTTCCCAGCATTCTTTAGGCTTATCCTTGCAAATCAGTCCCAGGAGTCTTGGACTTTTTGTCCCGCTCATGGCACATTCATAAAAAGTTCCATTGAGCAGAGCCACAGAAAGCCACATCACTGGAGCCACCAATGAACTCAGAGTGATCTGACCCAGGACATAGAAGAAGCGGCAGCTGTGGCCTTTGGGGAAGATTTTCCTGGGATTCACACAGCAGCCTGTGAAGAGTTTCCATGACCTGTTATTCAGGAAGAATCCCAAGATTAGTAACACCCAGGCAGGCGCGAAGAGGAACACCAGCCCATAGACCACATTCTCAGAGCTGCAGGGGCACTTAAAAGCCACCACTGAAAAGAGGCGCTCACTTCCCACGGTCAGCAGAGCCATGAAGCTGTACCCAATCACAGTTTTCTGGTTAAGGAAGAATTTTAAAAGGCTCTGAAAAGCATCCATGTTGGTGATGCAGAAAGAGGGGAAATGCTTTGTCCTTGTTTTCCACTGAGCAGCTGTGGTAGCGGCTGAGGGTGGAGCTCCTTCTTCATTAGAAACAACAGTCCTCCTTCTCAGAGGGAATTCCGCCAGATAAGGAAACAATGTCATTCCCTAGGAATGAGAATTTCCCAACAGCGTTCCGATAATGCCTCCTACTGGTGAATATCGGGCCACAATACTGCAGCCTAGATGCTGAGAATTGAGAAGATTCAAAGTGCACAGGCTTCATTTTTACATTCTTTCCATGTGGCTTGGACAGAAAATCAGAAAGAAATTCTCACTCCTACAAATAATGGTCTAGGAATTTTCCAGCATGAGGAATCAACATTAGCAGAAAGGGGTTTCAGATGATTGGTCGGGAGCCAAATCAAATCTCCAAACCTAGAATTTCACTATGGTTTGTTTTCTCTTGCCACATGACTTAAGATTCAGAGGGCAAGAATTTCATTTCGTACTTCTTAAAGTGGCTAAAGTTAGAGACTTGAACCAAATTTTAAGATTTTAAAGATCCGAATTATATGGAAAAGTTTGGTGAGGGTTTGATTGAAGGGCTCTGTCTTTATCGTTTCCTTCCTAGGTTATTGTAGCAAACTTTTGATTAGTATCTTTGCGTTTGAATCCATGCCTTCTCCCACCCACAACCCTAAATCCATCCTATATGCTGACAAGAAGAGTACTCTAAAACAGAAATCCAATTCTGCATTAGCCTCTTCATACTTTGGGGGCTTCCTACTGCCCACAAGTTGATAGATAAAGACCTCCCTGAACCCCATTATTGCATTCCATGCCTATGACATGTGCCCACTACATAGAATGTCTTTGCCCCACCTCCTCTCCAATCTTGTCAACTTGGCCAACACTCCCTCTATAGTCATGCCTTCTGGGTCTGTACATGTATAAAACACAGAATAGATGCTTATTCCATACTTTGTTTTGCAAATGGCTATTGAACTTCCAGTGTGTGCCTGGCACTGTGCTAGACAGAGAGTGTTCAGTAAGGACCTGTTGAGTGAATAAACGCACGAATGAGGAACCTCTTAACCCTTCTAAATATATATAATTAGAGAAAATTACTTTCATTTATTTCCTACACTGCTCTTAATTTTAAAAATTAAATTGATTAAGGCACTTGCAAAGAGGCAGCATATCAAGCTGACACATTTTCATTAATGAACTTCAAAAGTCCAGGCCTGTGTGTTTTATGGAAAGAAATTGCCCTGTTTGAGGAGCCTAGGTACTAAGTTACAGCATGGCCTTTGTGGTAAGGTTTTGCTTCTCTGAACACCAATTTACTAATTTGTGAACGTAGGGGTTTAAAAGAAATAGTCTCCAAGATTTCTTCCATTCCTACTTTGTAAAATTCTTTAAGCCCTGTAAAACAGCAGACTTTTTGTTTGAGAAGTTACTTTATTATTCTTTTATGTGCCTCCCATCAGTACTTCACTAGTTCACCTTGCTTCTTCTCAGAGACTTGTACAAGGCATGCCTGAAAACAAGACCCCCAGTGGATACCTGAACCCAAACTGTATACATAAGTATGTTTTTTGATCAAATAAATGAGATGACTACCGAGTGTCTCATGGGCAGTAGCTGGACACAGTGGACAAAAGGATAATTCACGTTCTAAGCATGACAGAGCACAGCAGTGAGCAACATTTCATTATGGCATCGAGAAGCACCGTTTGAAATTTATGAATTGTTAATTTATGAAATTTTCCATTTAATATTTTGCATATATTTAATATTTTTCAGACCATGGTTGGCTGCAGAGATCTGAACCCTTGAGGAGACTCCCATGCTTTCATGATTTCCTCAACTTCCCAAAACACATTCCTGGGTCTAATCTGTGCATCTGCTCTGATAATCACCTTTCCATTATGGCAAATGTGTCCTGGGTCCCCTTCAATGCAGGAATTTATCCTTTGTTAGGATCAATGTGATAAATGTCATATTGACATATTAATCACTAATATAATATGTTAATTTCTTATCCTCTTAAAGAATATGTCTTTTTTTAAAAGTTTTTTGAAAATAGTACCTTAATGCTGTTTTATATAAACCTTGTTATTTCCACAGAAAACTAGTCCCTTAAGATGTTCCATAAAAATAAAAGGACTTCAGACTTTCACTTGTCTTAGGGCCAAAAAATTGCAAAGCCAAGTGTGAACCCAGACTTCCTGACTACCGACTCTGCGTGCCCAACCATCACGCAGCAGTGCCTGTTAACAAGCCCGGTCCCTCAACTAACGGAACGTTTGTTCACGTTCTAGTTCTAGTGAATTTTGTTTTCCGCTCTTCCAGGTTGCCTTCAAGATGTACTTGGGAATTACACCCAGTGTGACCTGTAACAATTCAAGCAGAAATGAATTTTCCCTAATTCTAGACAAGAATCCTCTGGTGGAGTTTGTGGAGGAGCTCCCTGCCGGGAGATCTTCTCTGTGCTACTGCAACTTGCTCTGCGGGATTATCAGAGGCGCCCTGGAAATGGTAAAGCACGTAATTCATTCTGCTGGGTATACAGGGTGGCCATAAAGTTCATGTGCAATTAGTTACACTATTTAAATTGCACACACTTTATGGCCACCCTGTATTAGTTATCTGGTGCTGTGTAACAAGTTACCCACCAAATGTTGTAGCTTCAAGCAGCAAACATTTATCATTTCACCCAGTTTCTAAGGACCAGAAATCTGGGAGCAGCTCAGCTGGGTGGTTGTAGCTCAGTCTTTCACTGCTTCAAAGTAGTCTTTAACTACTTAACACACATGCAGTCAGGCCCTTGGCCAGGGCTACAGTGACTGACAATTTGACTGAGGCTAAATAATCTCCTTCCAAGCTCATTCACACAGCCTTGGTACCTTGCTGGCCTCATAGACCTCTTTGTGGCTATAATCTTAGGCAGGCAGCTTGAGATGCCAACACTGGTGCAGCGTGGGTGGGGATTACCTGAGGGAACAAATAACCAGAGGTGGGGATCATTGCAGGCCATTTTGGAGACTAGCTTCCATGCCTGAATTAGTCATTGGTTTAAATAAAACAACTACTAGTATCTGCTAAGTATCAGGCATGAGCATGGGAAGATGAACAACACGCAGTCACTGCTCTTAAGGAATCTTCCGTCAAGTAGAAAAATCAGATACGTAAAGAAGTTTCACGGAGGACTATGGGAGGACCTGCAGCAGGAATGGCTTCCAGGAGAAAATTCCAGCTGGCTTTAGAAGGAAAAATATGAGTTCGGTGAAGACCTTCAGTAAGGAGAGCAGGGAAAAGTAATATCCCAGGCAGAAGCATCAGAATGTCAAAAGGCATAAAAAGAATTTTTTTTTTCAAGGAATAAGGAACTTGAATTACTTAATAGTTCAGATTGACTGATATGTAGATTGAGAAAGGGATTATTGCATGAAAGAGGGCTGAATGTTCCTTACAGAAGCCTGAGAAAAGAAGGGATGCATGTGACAAGCTTGGGGATTCTGACATTTACATTAAAAGCAACAGAGAGTCAGTATAGGCTTACAAATAGGGGCATGGTATACTGAAATTTGTGTTTTAGGAATTTCATTTCTCATCAGCCAGGTGAACATATAAAGGAGAGAATAAGGCTCAAAGAAGGGAGGAGAGCAGTCAGGAAACTGTGATAACCGCAAGTAAAAGCAGAAGTCCCTACTCCCTGCCATGGGAGCGGAGAGAAGCAGACTGATTTGAACAACATGCTGCAGTGGAACAGATAAGACAAGGTTATAAGCTGGCTGAAAGGGACAACACTGGGGGAAAGATTCAAGAATGACGTTTAAGTATCTGAGCAACCCTGTACTATTAACTGGAGTTCAAACCCAGAGGAGTGCATAGGGGCTTAGGAGAGACAAAGTGAAGAGTTCAATATTGAACCTACTGGGGTTGAGAAGTCGAACACACACCCAGTGAGGATATCCAGCAAGGTTGTTTGGACCTGTCTGGGGCTCACAGAGAGATACAGATTGAAGAAGAGGCATTGGAACTGCCCGAGAAGGCTGAGGGAGAGTCTAGAGAGCCAGGAGAGAAGGGAGTCACCGACAGAGCCCGAGGAAGCCACAAAATACAATGAGTAGTTCAAATGGAGAACCTGCAAAAGATAATAAGAAGAATAATCAGAGGAAAAATACTAGGAAAGGAGTTCTAGAAACAAAGGAGGAGAGTATTTCAAGAAGAAGGGAGTAACTAACAAGACCAAGTACTGCACAATCTAAGTAAAACGAGACCTGAAAAAATATGCAGAACATTTAGGCACCAAACATCAGTGAGGGTCTTGGTAAAAGCTCTTCGGGAAAGTGCAGGGAAAAGATGTCAATCTGTCCTAGACTAATGAGCCAGTGTAGCTTGGGAAGAGGTAACAGTAACAAAGCCTTATTTTTCCAGAAACTTTGCTATTAAAAATGGTGGGACCAGATACTAAACAAGTATTAACCTTGCTAATGAAGTATGCATATAATTTTATTTGTGATAATTAGAATAAGATAGAGTAACAGGTAATTGAAAGTGTAAAACAATAATGTATTATTCACACAGATCCTCCTCTGTTAGCACCTTTTTAGGCTTGTTAGTGGCCAGAAGATCCAGGAAGAGGAAGGGAAGAGTTCTGGGAGCCCACAGACAAAGAGAAACCACAAAACTAAGTCAAAAATGAGATAAAGAATTCTCTAGCTTTCATGGATAACACCGGATTACACATGACAGATAGGTATCAGACCCCACATGACCACAAATATCCAAATGGCTTCAACATATTCAACCCAGTCTCCTTGTTATTTTAATTGATTTTCTGTTAAATTTTCACAAAGACATAGTATTTTTTTTTTTTTTTAAACAGAATCTCATTCTTGCTTAGGCTAGAGTGCAGTGGTGTCAACCTAGCTCATAGCAACTTCAAGCTCCTGGGTTCAGGTGATCCTTCTGCCTCAGCTTTCCAATTAGCTGGGATGACAGCACCCACCACAATGCCTGACTAATTTTTCTGTTTTTAATAGAGACAGGGTCTCGCTCTTTCTCAAGCTGTTTTTGAACTCCTGAACTCAAGTGGTTCTCTGGACTCAGCTTCCCAGAAACCTAGGATCATAGATATGACCCACCTCACCTGGCCAAAAACATAAACAATCTTATGGAAAAAGAAGCTAAGAGTAAATTTAGCTTGTGTATTTCAAAATGCAATTTACATCCTTCTGTTGCATGGTAGACATCAGGTTTGTACCCTAGATAAGCCAGATAATTTGGTACACTAATGGTTTAACAAATCCAGGTTAGTTGACTAAGGAATTCTTAATGAGAGATGAGATGAGTCAAATAAGAATCCATAAATAAATTGCATATCAGACCCAGGCATTTTTACATATAATTTACTTTTACTAGGTGCTTTCACTTCTTTATCTTATTTATCCCAATGACTTAAAATAACCCTGAACAAATACTCTATCAAGGGTGCTGCTCTTACATTTTAATGAACAGAGAGGTAAGCTCTAAGGCTGTACTTCAGTGTCTGGGAAATGGGAAATACTTTACAGAGGAAAAGAAGGTCTGAGTATTAAATATTCATGTGTGTAATTTCAATCTTTAATTTAATATCTATAATTTATTTAGTTGATCTTTTTCAAAGCTCTCCAAGCCATGAGTGACTGCTAAATGTTGTTAGAACAAGTGACTATGTTGTTCAGCTAATGAAAGAAAGATCGATGGCACATCAGTTTGAGAGGAATCATTACAGTATCCATTTATCCCAGGGAGTTCTGTGTGGCCAAGAACACTGAGTCAAGGCTACCTTTGAGTTCGAAATTTGTTTTCTTCTTGAGATGGATCCATAGTTCATTCCTGCACTGTGAGCTAAGGTTGGCCTGGGCCTAAATGTCTGGGTATCCCGGTCATCCTACTTGTTCCAGACCTGCCCTGCCCTTCTCTTTGGAGAGTCACACTGCAGAGCTGACACACAGCCAGACCATCTCTGGAGGACACACAGTAAAGGGTCCTGTGTCTGCAGAACAAGCTCCTTGTTATCATTCCTCGTGGAAAGTGGAGAAAGCCAAGAAAAAGATATGGAGAAAAATTAAGAGGTTTTTTTTTTTTTTTTACTTAAATGACCCCCCTTTTTTTCTCTCCTAGGTTCATTTGGCTGCTGATGTTACATTCTTGCAAGACAGACTAAAAGGCGACAGTGTGACCGAAATAGGAATAACATTTCTGAAAAAGCTAGATGAGAAAAAATATAGACGGAAAAAATGAAGAATAGCATGCAAAATGCCACAGGGTGGCTAGTTGAGGAGTTTATATTAGTGAAACATGTATCACCATAGAAATTTTGAATTTCTTAATAGCCTGGGCCATGGAAGGTCTATGAATCAGTCAGATATTGGAAATGCAGGGCATGAGGATTTAGCGATGTTTTTCTTTTGCTTATAAATCACACATTCTCAATATCATGTCTAGAAGATTTCATATATAAATAACTCCTTATAAGATAGCAGGCATGAATCACACACATTATGGAATCCATCCTCAGAGAGCCTGTTCATTCCATTTACTCCTGGTAATGGGATAAAAAGGCACTACCGATAAAAACAGTTAGTGTACTTCTCTCTTTTCGCTGGAGAAAGGGATGAAATATTATGATACTGCAGCGTTCACGGTGTATAGACAGTTTCTATATAATGTGTATTGCATTCCTTACAGAAACAGTTCCCTTTGTAAAACTTTTTCATATTTCTGAGAAATTATGGATGTGACTTTTCTCGTATATTAGCTTGGCTTACAGCTTTAGCCTGCTGAATGAAGCTACTCTTGACTTGTAATCACCAAGGCAAGTTATTTTTTGGTTCTAAATCTGAAACATGTAAAATTGGCATTTTAAAAACAATGTTTAACTTTAAGTCATTTTATTTAGTTTTTAGACGGCTTCTATTTACCGAATGTCTTCTTTTTCTCATGGCTGATGATCAGGCCAGGAAACCTCTAAAATGAATGACAGGTGAATAATGTCCTTTGAGAATATTTGCTTACTGTAAAGCTTATTCACTTAGAATTTTTACTATCATTTTTATCCCTTAAAAATATTCCAAAGAATAGTTTGCCTGTGATGGTAGGGTATTTGGTGGGACCTCATCTAATGTGCATAATGCAATGGTACATTTTAAAACTATTAAGAGTAGAGTATAAATGTCTTACCACACAAATAAGTGAAGTGTTGGTTATGTTAACAAGTCTGATGTAAGCTTTCCACATTGGATATCAAATTATCACATTGTGCCCCATAAATAAATTAATGTACACAGTTATAATTTAATAAAAAAATTTAAAAAACAGTTTGTGACAAGAACATATTTTAATTTCAAAATGTACTGGATTAAATAAACAGTAATCTTCACTAGATTATCATGACACATGGGGAGTCTACAAGGAAGCCCAGAACCTGCTGGGCTTTGCAGAAAACTCAAATTAAAATTAAAAGTTACACTTAGCATGATACCATCAGTGAAACTGAGGTACATACTACCGTGTGGTAGACATCAGTTAGGACTCAGGAACCAGGACCCAATCCCAGTTCTGTTTCTTGTGGCTTCAACTAATCCTGGATAGTGGCTAATCTTAAAAAAAGGCCCATAATTTCTCTCTCTCTTTCTTTTAATATCTCTGTCTCTCTCTAATCTTTAAAATGAGGGGATTGGACATGAAAATATCTAACACTACATCTGTGGTGGACTCTGGATGGGGTTTGCTCCTTAGCCCTTGTTTTTCTCAACCCAGAGGAAGAGGAGTCACTTAGCATCTATGAGAAATGACCTACATAACAAAGATAATAGCTTATTTGTATTCAATACATGCTCCCTCCTAAAGAATATGGGGATCCAGAAAGTGCTGTTTATTAGAAGTATGAGAGTTATCTACATAATTTAAAATATTCTAGTATTTTAATAAATATATCATTTATACTAATTATCCAAACTATTGCTTCAACATTTATCGACATAAAAATTGTTAATGAGACATTTTATATCCTTTTTTTAATACTAAGTATTTGAATTCCAGTGTGTATTTGACACTTTTAGTACCGCTCAATTCAAAGGAAAATTTTCAAAGGTTAAAGTGAAATGCAGTCTACCAAAACAATAAAGTTGGGTTTAATGGTATTTAATAGCTTCAGTTTCTAAATCCAAACTAATTAAAATTAAACTAAGTTTAAAATTCAGTCACACTAGTCACATTTTAATAGCTGCTTGTGTCTGGTAGCTACTGTAATAGACAGCACAGGTCTTGAATTCCCAGTCACAGGTCCACTGGGTCTCCTTGACCTCTGACAGGAAGAATAAATGGAGAGGGTCCAGGATCTTGGAGAAGAAGAGAGGAGATGGGTAGAAAAGAAAAAGGTTAAGAAAAACAAGGAGGGAAAGACTGGCAGAGACCCTTGAAATGCATTGTCCACTAACAGGAAAAAGATAAAGATGGGTTGCACACCCTCCCCTGGCTCCAAGTGTGCTTTCATTGCTATAGTATAAAGGCTTTATGAAGGGCTAAGGAAGTTGCATGGCATAACTAGGATTGTATAGCATTTTCATTTCACAGAAGTCTTTACTCTGAACCTAAAATCTTGATCAAAGCATAAATATTTATTGTCTTAGCAAATCCATAAGGGAAGAAATGTCTGGAACTGAGAGTTTAGTGTCATTTAAATGATACACCAGATGCTGCCCCCGCTATTTACCATGGAGGCCAGCTCTGCTTGCCTCTTCACTGTTCACAGTTGCCAGGAATCAGAAGTACTTCCCTCAGCGTCCTGTACACTTATCTATTGTCTTCTGAAATTTCCGAGTTTCATTTATTAGCTGTTAAAAGGCTGAATCTCTTTAGCAGATGAAATGACTATTGTGAATAAGTGGACATTGTCTGCTCTTCTCTGTGAAAGACCAAAGTAGAAATTTGGAAAACCAAATGCTTGAAGTGAGAGACTGTTATTAATATGTTTGTAATTGAAGAGATCACTTTAACAAAGATCTTGCCAGTAAATGCTGGAAAATATGATGATATTTATTGTTAAGGGTCTCACCAGTTGGCACAATAGACTTTGGGAGGTTGCTCAATTCCACACCCTTGTCCACCAGCTGTGGAAGCTAACTGATGTCTTCTTGATTACACTGAAGGAGCTCATGGGGAAGGTGTCCTCCCAACCTTTACAATTATGCTTCGTGTAATTGACATTGGTTGGCTTCCTATATCTTTCCTCCTCCTAATTAAATGGCCTCTTTCCATATAGGTTCCTACCGTTTAGTTAGGCAACATAGCTACTTCAGGGCAAGTCAGCCCTCTTCTCAGCTTTATTGCTATCACCTAAGTACCCTAGCTCATTCCCAGTTTAAAACTGTTAGGTAATTGCTCCAGAAAAGTCCCTTCCTGCTTTCTCTTAAAGTTACAGCTCCTTTCCAAGCACAGGGAGTTACCTTCTAACCAACAGGGAGTGGCCCACTTATCTCATCTCCCTGTCCCAAGTACCCACTGAAAATTTCAAACTTATGGCCTGCCCCCAATGGTTCTTTCCGCCACAGCAGTAACTCCTTATTGACTATTTACCATCCTGTCATCATTCTAAGATTTCTTCTCACTATATAAGGGTGCTAAAGGTGTGCTCTCTCTTCTCTCCCTCCTCTTCTCTCCCCTCCGCTCTCCTCTCTCTCCTCTTTGCTCTCCTCTCTTTCCTCTTTGCTCTCCTCTTTTCTCTCCTCTTTTCTCTTCTCTCCTCCCTCCTCCTTGGTGCTGCTCTGCAGCATCCCTCCCTCACCGATAAAGACCTTTCATACAAGCCTTGGTGGTCTGTGAGATCTCTGTCAGTCGAGTGCCACTCTTTCAAAAACCACTTCCTTTATAGCCAAATCTAAGTCAATCCATTCCTAGTATTCTATATACTACAATCATTGGTTCTGGCATGGTCCAATTACTGCAATTGTTATTCCATGATTATGGGAAAAAAGTGTCTCTCTCTATATATATCTCTGTCTCATTCCCTCCTTCCTTCTCTTTCAATATGTGGCTCTGGTTGCTGCTGACTCATGACACGTGGGAAAGAGGATGATAATGAATGAACTGAAGAGAGGAAAAGCCTGCCCTCCCTCTGGAATTTCAGTTTCATGAACCCATAAATTTACTGTATTCTTAAGACAATAGAGTGGGGTTCTGTTACTTGCAATCAATGGGGTCCAAAATAATGCGTTTTCCAAATTTCTCTTCTCTATTAATAGCAATGCAACAAAATTCAGTGCATGATAAATACATGATAGGTCAGACAATTTGCATCATATTGAGAACATCAAATAGAATAAATTACATTATTATTGCATTTTTCACATGGTTGAATACTTGATGGGATAAAACTTGGATTTACATAGCTCTTCTCCTTACAGAAAGGACAAATTTATAGGAGAGAGAGAATAAAAGTTTGTATTAGATAGTGTTCATCTACTTAGTGCACAAAATCCAGAAAAGGGAGATTCCATGGGGAAGAAAACGTAGTTTAAAAACAGTGGAGCTCTTAAAACAAAACAAAAAATCCATACATTTCAGGTCCTTGCTTCCAGGTCCTTGGAAACTTAAGTCATCATCAAGAGTCACATGAGGAAGAACAATCCTCTGATTTCAAGAGCTGCCCAATGATATAAATCTTTCAAGCCAGCAGACTGGATTGAGTGATTTGCTATTTCAGTGTAGTGCACGAATCACATAGATTTTGATAGCTTAGAAGAGGAAATGCTAATTCCCAATGGATACCAAGCTATAGAAGCCCCTGGAAATGCTGGTTTCTTGCCTTTAAATCTAATTAACATTTCTATCAAACGCCAGGTATATGTGATTCAATTTTCACAACAATCTGTGAGGCATTAAGTTTCTAATAGAGAGAAGGAGTTGGCTATGAAATCACAAAGGAACTAAATTTGCCAGTGCTTTAAGAGCATCAGGATGTGAGGCTGGTAAATGATGGAAGTTGGTATGGCTCCTGAGGACCTGACTTGGGTGACTGGGTGAGACAAGGGACTTCTCACTCAGGAAGAGGAGGAATCAGTTAACTTAGCAAAAAGCTAATAAACTTGTAATACTTTGAGTTTGAGGTGCTTTTGAAACACCCAAATAATACCAGGAGCTTGAAAGAGAGGTCTGAACTGAGGATGGACCTCGGAGTCACCAGTGTATGGATAATAGGAAGAGCAGAGGATGTGGATATTGACATTCAGGGAGCCTATAGACTTGGGAAAGTAGAAGGGGCAGGGATAGAACCTTGAGAACTAACACCACGCAAGAGGCAGCAAGGAAGGAAGAGAGCCAAAGAGGCTAAACTTTCAGTCAGAGATGTAGACGGGAGAACTTGGAGGTATTGAAGAGTTTCAAGGAGATGAGAGGGGTCAGAGGTTTTAGGAACCACACACAGCAAAGTCAAGACAGTTTGGCCAGAAAAGGGAGGTTGGGGGAGGCAGAAGCCTCACTGCAGTGGATTGAGGAGTCAGTAGGAGATGAGATGTGTAGATGATTCTTTCAGGGAGCTTGACCGGAAATGGAAAGAGACTTCTATTCTATTTTTGTTTTTTTAAGAATGCAGGTATTTGAAAATATATATGAGAGGGAAGAACTGATGCAGCAAGGTTATAAGGAAATGGAAGAAGGCAGGATGAAGGTCACAGGACAAAGGTTTGATTCGGACCTGCA